CTGGAGTGCAGTGGCATGATCTCAGCTCACTGCAACCTTTGCCTCCCAGGTTTAAGCGATTCTCCTGCCTCAGCCTCCCGAGTAGCTGGGATTACAGGTGCATGCCAACATGCCTGGCTAATTTTTTGTATTTTTAGTAGAGACAGGGTTTTGCCATGTTAGCCAGGCTGATCTCAAACTCCTGACCTCAGGTGATCAGCCTGCCTCAGCCTCCCAAAGTGCTGGGATTACAGATGTAAGCCACCATGTCAGGCCCTACATTGTAATTTTGATGGTTGTTGCCAGATTGCTCTCCATGGACAATGTACCAATTTACATTCCTACTAGATTCTTTTTTTTTTTTTTTTTTGAGATGTAGTCTTGCTCTGTCACCAGGCTGGAGTGCACAGTGGCACGATCTCAGCTCACTGCAACCTCCACCTCCAAGGCTCAAGCGATTCTCCTGCCTCAGCCTCCCAAGTAGCTGGGACTACAGCCGCGTGGCACCATGTCCAGCTAATTTTTTTGTATTTTTAGTAGAGATGGGTTTTCACCATGTTGTCAAGATAGCCTCGATCTCCTGACCTCGTGATCCACCCACCTTGGCCTCCCAAATTGCTGGGATTACAGGCATGAGCCACCTCACCAGGCCTCCTACTAGATAATTTTAAGCCTTTTCTTTTCCCAACCTGAGGTGAAAAAATATTATTTCTGATGTTTTAATATGTATTGCTCTTATTATAAAATAGCTTTATTTGTTTTGAATGTTTCTAATAAAAAACAGAAAAACTTGACAAGGAGAGAATGTTGTAGTTGGGTATAACTTCTGTCTCTCATTTTCTGCCCTATGGAAAACAATAAAAAGGGTCAAAACACTTCCGCATTGGAATAGTTGGAATAGTTGCCTGGTTGTTGATGGCAGGAACTTACACGTAGTGGGCGTCCTTCTGTTGTCTGCCTGGAAGAACAAGTGCATTGGTGCTGTTCTGAATCCTTGAACAACTCATGCGATTTCTCAAAACGTCTCTTGCGGTCAGGGGGCAGGAGCTGGCTCGTGGTGACCAAAAAGTCAGCTATGCTCAGTGCTCTGTTATTGTGGGACATAGACGCCAGGACAAGAAGACTCTGGACACTTTGTATGGGTGTCCTGGAATTTCCTTCTTGTGAGTAAAATAATTAAAATTTAGTCTAATTCAGAGAAGAAAGGCATCTGTAATTTGTGTAGACCTAATTACATGTTAGGTTAAAACTGCCCATATTTGAACTTCTTTTCTTAACCTGCACAAACGGCAGTTTCATGTGGTTCATGTCTTAGGTGTTGGTGCGTTTGGTGGGGCGCACTGGCTCACACCTGTATTCCCAGCACTCTGGAAGGCCAAGGTGGTCAGATCGCTTGAGCTCAGGAGTCCAAAACCAGCCTGGGCAACATGGTGAAATCCCGTCTCTACCAAAAAACCAAAACAAAAAATTAGCCAGCTGTGGTGGTGGGTGCCTGCGGTCCTAGCTACTCGGGAGGCCAAGGCACGAGAATTGATTGAACCTTGGAGGTGGAGGTTGCAGTGAGCCAAGATCGCACCACTGCACTCCAGTCTGGCAACACAGCAAGACTTTGTCTTTTTTTTTTTTTTTTTGAGATGGTACATTTGCTTTTGTGGATCTCTAAAGCCTGAAAAGTCTTCTTCTTCCCATCCCACAGCCCCTCATTTACTTACTTCTCTACCAATAATATTGAAACAACAATTTAGACCCAATGCAAGTGGCACCTTTCCAGGGGACCTTTGCTCATACCCTAAAGAAGTTAGTTCCTTTCTCATCACTCCCAGGCACTTTGTTGGTGTGTCATTACAGCATTGGTTTTTTTGTTTGTTTTGTTTTGTTTCGTGTGTGCGTATGTTTTAATTCTAAGTTCTGCCTTAAGTTTTAGATAGCTGTTTAATCTCTTTCTCCCCATTAGTCTACAAACTCTTTGAGGGCAAAGAGTGAGTCTTGTTCAACACTGTGTTCCTAGAACCTAACACTAGGCTTTGTGTAAGTCCTCTAAATAAATAAATAAAATAAATAAATAAAAGTTTGTGGAATGAATTAGCACACATGTAAATGAATGACGACAGTGGGAATGGGGAACGGCCATCTCAGAGAGAGGTTACAGTCCCAAAGGTCCCTAAAAGTCTCTGGAGCCAAGCTGCTGAAGGCCATCAAGAGGACAACCCCAGAAGCCACAGCAACCACATGCTGGGTGCATTTGCGTTGAGCCACAGTCCTTCTGTCACACACCCCAGTCCCTTTAGACACTGGGTCCCGTGGCATGCTTACTCTGCAATAGGCTACCTTTGCTGCAGGCATGGTTACTTACTCCCCCAGAAAAGCTCTGCTGTGGGGCAGTCCGCGCTTGCCAAAACCTCTGCAGGAAGAACCATAGAATCATCTGCTCCCCCAGGTTCAGAACAGCATACACTGTCCAGACAGCCTGCTCAGGACATTCCTGGCTTGTGAAATTTCCTTTTCTAGGGGCACTGGAGCATCACAGGAAATGCCAAGCAGCTGTTTGCTTCTTGGGTGTGGGATCAGATGGTCCCCAAACCCGGAATGCTCCTTCATCACCAGGCAGCTTGGAGGAGGGACCTAGGCTCAACTTGGGAATGTGTCATGCATGTCTCACCCTAAGTTCACAGCAGATGAAATTCTCTTTTCAGCAGCAGAAAGACAAGAGGCTGGCAAGTGCCCCCAGCTCTAGTCCCAAGGTAAAGCAGGAAGACCTGAGGATACAGAGCACTCTCCTCACCTTTAAAAAAAAATTTTAAAAATATAAACTTTAAAAACATGTCATCCTTGTGCCAGGGCCATGATAATCTTCTCTGTATCGTTCCAATTTTTAGTATATGTGCTGCCGAAGCGAGCACTCTCCTCACCTTTCAAAAGCAAGGCCCAGGGAGAGACAGGGGCTGCCTGGGTCTCCTGGCTTTGCCTTATCTTTCCGGGGATCCAGAACCCATCCTGACTGCTGAGACAGTGCTGAGCACTTGGGACTGCATTTTTATAAATGGCTTAGTGTCCTGGCTTTGGGCATTGCTGAGAGGGATTCTTGGGCAGGATAGTGAGATGTGAAGGGGTCAGGTGACCAAGAACCCAGGGAGAAAAGCTGGGGAGTAGAAGAGGTAAACGAGTGAGCAGTGTGAGGTGAAGAGGCCAGAGGTGGCCCACCTGAATTCAAATCCCAGCTCAGCTGAAGATTCATGACTTATGTGGTCTTGAACTGTACTTGAATCTCTCTGAGCCTTACTGTTCTCACCTGTAAAAAGGGTAATGACATCTGCCTTGCAAGACTGAGCTGATTGATTAAAATAACATCTTTTGTTTGTTTGTTTTAGAGACAGGGTCTCACTCTGTTGCCCTGGCTGGAGTGCAGTAAAGCAATCATAACTCACTGCAGCCTCAACCTCCTGGGCTCAAGCAGTCCTCCCACCTCAGCCTCCCAAGTACTTGGGACTATAGGTACAAACCACCTCACCCAGCTACCTTTTAAAAATTTTTGTAGAGATAGGCTCTTGCTCTGTTGCCCAGGCTGGTCTCAAACTCCTGGCCTCAAGTGATCCCTCCCAAAGTGCTGGGATTGCAGGCATGAGCCATTTCTCCTGGCCTAAAATAATATCTTTAAAGCACCTTACCCAGTCCTGGGAACCTATTAGGTGCTCAGCAAACATCAAGGAAGGTTGGGGTGAGGGAAGCTGTGTGGCAGATGCCCCATGGCGCTGATACTCCCCTACGTGCTCCCCACCGAAGTCCCTATTGGGGCACAGCTGCATTTGCTGCTATCACCTCTCATCTTGAAGACACACCGCGAGACCTGCTCCATATACAGCTTGGCTTCTGGGATCCCTTGAGCAGGCAAGCTTGGGACACTGCCATTTCCTTCACCCTGTGACCCCTTCTCATTCCAAGGCCTGTGGAGCAAAGGAGTCTCCTTTCAGCTGGGCCTTGCCACGACTGAGTGGGGGATTCAGCAGCAGCGCCTCTCGCCAGCCAGTCTTACTACCCTTGCCTCTGAGCTCCCTCTCCTGCCACTTCCAATGAAAAGGAAAGAGGACGCCTGTCACCCAGTGAGGTAGAAGCTGGTGATAAAGAAGGCAGCCCTCTTCCTTCCCCAGTCTTCTCCCCATAGTCTAGGCTGCAGACAGGCCACAGCCTCAGGCTAAGATCAAGACAGGAAGGAAAAAGAAAGTGCTGCCCCAGGGCTTGAACTCTGGGAAGTATTCCCTGTTCATAATGGGGCTCTTTTCCTTGCCTCCTGCCCAGGCCATGATCTGAAGGAATGAGGAAAGGAGTAAACAGCTTCTCAGAACTTCCCCAGACACCTAAGCTGCCTCAAGAGGTGATTAGGTTTGGCTCTGTGTCCCCATCCAAATCTCACCTTGAATCGTAAAATCCTCACGTATCAAAGGCGGGACCAGTTGGAGTAATTGAATCATGGGGGCAGTTTCCCCCATGCTGTTCTCATAATAGTGAGTTCTTACAAGATGTGATGGTTTTTGTTTGTTTTGGGGTTTTTTTGTTTGAGACTGCATCTTGCTCTATTGCTTAGGCTGGAGTGCAATGGCACAATTTCAGCTCACTGCAACCTCTGCCTTCTGGGTTCAAGCGATGCTCATGCCTCAGGCTCCTGAGTAGCTGGGATTACAGGCATGAGCCACCATGCCCGGCTAATTTTTGTATTTTTAGTAGAGACAGGGTTTCACCATATTGGCCAGGCTAGTCTCAAACTCTTGACCTCAGGTAATCCACTACCTTGGCCTCCCAAAATGCTGGGATAACAGGCATGAGCCACTGCACCTGGCCAATATGGTGGTTTTATAAAGGGCTTCCTCCTTCACTTGGCACTTAATCACTGATCTGCCACCCTGTGAAGAGGTGCCTTCCCCCATAATTGTAAGTTTCCTGAGGCTTCCCAGCCATGCAGAACTGTGAGTTAATTAAACCTCTTCTCTTTATAAATTACCAATTCTCAGGTACTTCTTCATAGCAGCATGAGAACAGACTGATAAAGGACTTCGTCCTCAGGTGTCACTCTTCCTTCCAACCTTCCCAGGAGCAGCATTCAGGACCAAGGGAGCCACAGTGAAGCATTGGTGACTCTGACATACTCTGGCACAGAGTTGTGGGCGCTCAGGATGCAGAGGGAAGTTGTGTTGGAGAACAGGATGTGGCCGGGCTCCGAAGCCAAGCAGCAGAGTGGACTTGCTGAAGATGGTGGGACAGGGACACACACTGGACCTGAACTAGGGGCTTAGAATTTCAGCCCAGCTCTGCCACCAACTAGCCATGTGGTCTTGATCAAATCAGAGTACAGCCATGCACATCAGTGCCCTCATCTGTAAAACTGGGCATTTGAAACAAATGACTACTGAGGGTGTGTGGTTTATTTTCTTTCCTGCTCTAAACAATAAAGCAAGACTCATGAAGAGTTTCTGAGAAAGAAAATGATGTCATTCAAGCCAGGTCTTGGTAGAATTAGCCTGAAAGTAGGGTGCTGGGTGTTGAATCAGCTGTGCAATGTGGTTTAAGCCAGTGGGGTTTTCTGTTATTGCAACATAAAGAAGCCTGAATGCTGTGGGCAGTGTTCTTTGAGGCATATATTAAGAGACTGGGCTGTGAGACAATCATGTTTGAGTCCAAATTTCTATCATTTCAGAGCTTTGTGACTTTATAATAAAGCTTCACTACTTTAAGCCTGTTTCTTTAGCCACAAAGTCAGGGTTAATCAGAATGCCTGCCCCCCCTTCCCCCCCCCAGTACAGCTACCAGATCTGGAGTTACTGCAGGCCAAGAGCCTAGAAGGGCGCCTGGTACATACGGAAGCACTCAGTAGATGCTGGCTTGCATCAACATGAATCCCGGCACGTTGCCAGCTGTCTTTTGCTTTTGGCTTCCCTGAATGCATTCCACCACTTCTCCCTGAGTTCCTGCCCTCCTCATTGCTCCTGCCCACTGAATTGCTGGTAATGCCTACTGTTGTCATAGTTTCCCCAGATAAATAGAATGCTTCCCTTGTTTTAACTGGGGCCTCATTGCCTTCTTCCTGAAAGCCTTGGTGTTTTGGGAGCCATCACCACAGTTCCTTCTCTCTTCCCGTCTGCTCCAAGACATCTGCCCTTTCCAGGAATATAATCCAAAGCCTTGCTTCTGTGGGCTCATTTCAAATGCCCTCTTTGCCACATTGAAGCTGTAGTGGCTTTCTGCCCAGTTTCAACCTCCCTTTGCTGTTGTCCCTCCCTTGCCCAAGCAACCCCACCCCACCATACTGAAGATTTGGTGGCCAAGAATTTTTTATTTATTTATGTATTATTTATATATTTCAGACAGAGTCTCGCTCTGTCGTCCAGGCTAGAGTGCAACAGCGCAATCTCAGCTGGTCGCAACCTCTGCCTTCTGGGTTCAAGTGATTCTCCTGCCTCAGCCTCCCAAGTAGATGGTATTACAAGCATGCATTACCGTGCCCAGCTAATTTTTGTATTTTTAGGAGAGATGGACTTTTGCTGTGTTAGCCAGGCTGGTCTCAAACTCCTTACTTCAAGTGATCCAACCCCTCGGCCTCCCAAAGTGCTAGGATTACAGGTGTGAGCCACCACTCTTGGCCAACTTCTTGTTTTTTAAATACAAATCAACCTCAGCTAATTTTCCCAAGAAAATTTCTCAAGACAGTATCAAATGCTTTCTAAAAACATCCCAGTACAAAAAAAAAAAAAGTTTTTCCTTCATCAAGTAGAAAGGAAAACCTAAGGAAAACTTTGTTAGTAATGAGTAATTCTGTCTCAAGCGGCAGGGGTAACAGCTTCCTTATTCTCAGCAGCTTGCAGGTTTTATTACATATATAAACACACACATATGTGTGTGTGTGTGTACATATATGTACGTATGTGTATTCTGAATTTGGAGTAGTTTTGGCTTTTCATCTCAAACTTGGACTTCTTCACAATTTTCAAGATGACTTTGTTACAAAGAACAAGTGAGTGTACTTAAAAAACCCAACTTCAGGAATAACAAAACAAAAATTAAGGTGACACTATTTTCTTTCAATAGACATATTTAAAAAAAAATAATTCCCAGTGCTGGTGAGATTGTGGAGAAATACGCACTCTGCTAATGAGAGTATAATTTGCAGTAAGTGTCTTTGTGGGCAATTTAAGACATATCAAAAGCCATTAAAAAATGTGTACTTCTGGCCAGGCATGGTGGCTCATGCCTGTAATCCCAGCCACTCAGGAGGCTGAGGCAGGAGAATCACTTGAACCCGGCGGGGGCAGTATTTGCAGTGAGCCAAGATTGCACCACTGCACTCCAGCCTGGGCAACAGGGCAAGACTCTGTCTCAAAAAAAAAAAAAAAAAAAAAGTTGATCCAGCAGTTTCATTTCCAGTAATTTATCCTAATGAAATAAGAATGCTATTAAACTGTTGGTCTTAAAATTAAAGAGTTGTTAATGAAAAGTTAGTAACCCAGAAGTCCAAATTACCAATATGATAAAAAAATGACGACGACAACTATGCAGCCACTTAAAATGATGTAAATGAGCTGGGCACACTGGCTCACACCTGTAATCCCAGTACTTTGGGAGGCCAAGGCAGGAGGATTGCTTGAGGCCAGGGGTTCCAGACCAACTTGGGTAACATAGTGAGACTCCATCTCTAGAAAAAATTTAAAAATTGGCCAGGCGTGGTGGCACATGCCTATAGTCCCAGCTGTTTAGGAGGCTGAAGCAGGTGGATTCCTTGAGCCCAGGAGTTTGAAAATGCAGTGAGCCATGATCATACCACTCCATTGCAGCCAGGGTGATCAAGCAAGACTTCGCTGCTTTACCAGGCAAGACCTGGGTGCCACATAGGGTGAAATGGAGGCATGAAGACCAA